ATCAAATCAAAGGATAAGAAAAGATGCGAGCATGTAGACTTAATTTGAAAGTTATATGAGCACCTTGATATGAATATCAGCAATGAATAGTATTCAAGGCGTCTTCATTGAATAATTAATATACTTTCATTCTGTTTCTTCTAAAAATGAAATTATTCTGTCATGGTGTTGATGATAAGTTGTAGTACTGTTGACTGTTATCATCATTTGCTTCAAGGTAGAATCAATCTGATCTTCCATGAACTGCCGAATCAACTTTGTCAGGTTGATATCCAAGCTACATCCAGTTAGCTTAGTTTTAATATTTGATTTTGTTTTTCGCTTCACTATTTATTTTTGATAAAGATTTCAATCAGCCTACTGGAGTTATATTTATTTTGATTTATTGATCGAAGAGATAGAACACAGAATTGGCAGTCAACTTTTCATCTCTTATTCATTGACTTCAAAAAGACCTTTGAGGGCGCTGACAGTGAAGTAATTTGGAAACTGTCTCAACACTATGGAGTGCAGTGCCCCAAACCTCTATCAGTCTCATTTAACAGCCATACGATGGTTCTATATCTCAAGTCATTTACAGGAGAAAGTTCAAGAAGGCGTTGGAAATGATCACAGGAGCAAGAAAAGACTGCTTACTATCATCGGTGATATTTGTGGCTATGGTGAAGCGTATCGTGCTGCAGACTTTCAGGAACAAGGAGACGGGTATAAATTAGACCGACAAGAAGAATCCAGAAGATACGGAATTCATGAATGATTTATGTTTAATGGTACATAAATTCATGGACTCACAGGCGAAGACCAACAGACTGACAGGAGAAGAGTCAAAGAGAGGACTTCGAGTGAAATCAGAGAAGAAACAGGTGATGGAGATACCTAGCCAAGAAGAGGAAGAAGGAACGGTCACCATCGACGGAAGTAATTCGAATGGAGTCACCTCTTTGAGTTACCTAGTCAGCATTATTTCGTCTGCAGGCAGTCGACACAGATGAAGATGTCAGAGACAGGATCAAGAAGAGTTGAGATGTTGATGATATTGCCCAGGTGTCCAACGAGAACTCCTCAAATAAGCCTTCTAACTCAGGAAATACGGAAGCAACACCAGGATCATCTTCATCAGAGCTACAAATGCCTTTCATTATTTCAAAGAAGTAATAAAAAGAATAGCGTTAAGATATCTGTCTATGGAATAAAGGAAGCTTATGAAAGATGGTAGCACAAATGAACAGAATTAAAAACATGAATAATTATAGAAAATTTTAAAAGTGAACTATGGCATGATCGTATTGACTATCATCCTCTCTCGCACATACAGGCGTTTGTTATAGTAAACAACTTTTCACTTTGTTATCCGAAGTCTGCGGTGTAACTGATTTGCACTGTCCAGATATTCTTCTTGGGAATTTGACACAAATCATAGTTATCTTGAATATGCTTAATTTTTAAAAGAAGTCGTTGTAAAACTTCACTTCTAACTGTGTAATTTACAAATGCAGTTCGTTGTTGATGTTAACAGTGAGATCTTATCACAATTTATCAGTGGGGCCTTCAAAAGGACTTTCAACATAGCTATGCTGTATATTCCCTAGTCAACCAATACTTAGCTCAAAAAATAAGGACAAACTGCCCTGTTTCGCCTTCTCCATGTGTATTTACCAGTTTAACTGATCGTGTGGAGCTAGTTTCATTAGGCATATGATCAAGCAAGTTCGTTGTTGAATTTCTGAACATCTCACCTCTTGGTTTGGCAAAGGTTCGGATAAAACTCGTCCTAGTCAAATACTAGCTCGTTTCATTACCAGTGGACATCAAGTCAACTGTAGCAAAGCTTTTAAAGTTATTTATTGTATTCCATCCAAAACATGTCGCACGGTCTATGAGTACGACTTTTATATACAGTAGAGGCGATCGGAATTCATTTGAACAAGACAAATCTGTGTGTTCAGAAGAGATTTGTACAGCCTCGTTTTTATTTCACGTAATCTACTGAGTCATCCCGTTCTTCTTAGTCGTTATTACTTTACAAAATTCTTGGTTGTGTAACAACTTGTTGCTGACGACCAAAAAATTAATTTCCACCTTTCCTTCAAAATCTAAATATACTGTTGCTAACATCTATAAGTTAATTGGATGGAGGATTTCATCATCAGCTGACATCAGTTAGTGAACCACTGGAAAACCTGGGAATACTGGACAGCTGTTTCGTCAGCCTACTCTGGGACTCTTCGGCAGTACTCACCCACCAGAGTTCCAACCTAGGACCTTCTGGTTACAAGGATAGCTTGTAGACCATTAAGCCACTGGAACTCTACCCAATGGCCCGTGAATTCTAACTTCTGCCCATTCATGACATAACGCGACAACTTCGTAATGTTTGCTTCGATGAGTTACTGCCTCATCTACAACCTTCTGTACCCTACTGGTCACGGCTTCCCACTGGGATCCCAAGTCACTGCCAGTCACTAGTGAGCATCAGATTAATTTTCAAGTATTGGTTTTGTAGGGATTTAGTTTGACTGGATGGGCGATTTCATCGAACCCAGGTGGGTGCGTACCGATGGAGAGTACCAAACTAGGGTGAAACAGCTGTCCAGTACTCACAGGTTTTCCAATGGTTGCCTAACTGATGTCAGCTCATGATGAAATCCTCCATCCAATCAAAATAAATCCTTAGAAAACCAATACTAGGATATTAGTTAATTGTTTTGATGACTTTTAGCTTTTTAATTTCATCCCCGCCCCCCACTTGATTAGTAAAACATTTTAATGTAAAAACCATATATTAGTGTAGAGCTATTCGTTGATGAGGAACTGATTGAAAAGGAATGGATATTTCTTCTCTCAGTATGTTGTTTTTTTCTAAATGAAATTTAGTTTTTCAAATTCGAGCCATTATGATATACTATCCTAGAGATGATTTTATTTGTAAAACATACGGACAAGTTTAAAACCGCTTAAATACGTAGACATGTAGCCACTTGAATTTAAACAAAAAAGCATTGATATGTCAATGATTCTTCTCTTATTTTAGGCATATTTACTTCTAAGATAACCTTTCATTTCATCTCAAATTATTATCATTGTTGTTCCCTTGGGCTGCTAGTGGAACATAGGGCTTCAGCTGCACGTCTCCACTTGCTTCTGTCTTCTGCTCTACTTTTCACCTGACTCCATCCATGTTAGTCCATACTGTTTCAACTCTTCTTCACACGATCTCCTCCATGTCATCCTTGCACTGACGACCCAATCACCGCTTCCATTTCGGCCTGGTTCCACTCGAGAAATGGCCTGACGCGCGCGCGATGTCACTCGGCGGCCTCCTGCATATTTGTTGGGTGATTGGTTCTTGTTTTGTTTGTTCCAAGCCATAGTTTCTTGTTGGTGATTCTTTCCGGCCGAGCATCTGATCTTCAGTATAGATCCAGCGAAGACAGTTGTTGGTTGATAAAGGTCTGGTTAGCCTGTTGGAAATATTTTTGTGACCCGTCCGCCAAGTTTCTGATCCGTATAGAAGAGCTGACTGACTTTACGTTTGTATTGAAAATCCGACCGGATTTTGTTGTTGATACTGGCTGAGTGACGAAGAATTCCAGATTGGTTACAGGTTGATGAATGTGTTTCTCCCTTCCCGATTTTCTCTCGATTTGACATCCTCGTCCGTTCCTCGTGTAGTTGAGATAATGCTCAATGCTAGATGAGTGAATGAGGTAACCTCTTTCAAATCCCTCCCGTTGATGGTGATTGGTGCTGGATGTTGTTGTTGTTGGTTGGTTATTTTCATAACCTCCGACTTGTCCATGTTCACTTGGAGTCCTGTCTTTGTTGCTTCTTCGGCTAGTTTGTCAGCTTCCGCTTTTAAGTCTTCGATTTTGTGTGACATCGAACATAAATCATCCACGCGACAAATCCAGGTCTTCTAGGTTCTTCACATCGATCCAGGATATCCCTGACTTCTCGCAGCTCAAATTAGCTGTATGTATCCTTCAGATTTTGGGTTTTGCAGTTGTCAAAAGCTCTGACAAGACAGATAACTCCTTCGTTTACAAGTGTGATGAAGAAGTGATCTCAATTAGAGAACTACTGGAAAACCTGGGAGTACTGGATAGCTATTTCATTGTAGTTTGAGACTCCTCATCAGGATGGACCTATTGGAGTTCGATTTGCTTTCTCACTAAATTAGAAGACTGTACATACTTCTGCAGCACTTAAAAACCGCGTTTCTGTTGTTGAACAACCTTGAATTTCTCTGTTACATCAGAATGAAAGCAAAAATTAAGAAAGAGGTTCTGTGAAGAAACTGATAAATAAGCTGAAATTATTTTATGATTTAAGTGAGCACTGAAAGTTTTCAGGAGATTGGATAAAGAAAGTCATAATAGATATGTTTTCCCTCTTAGAAACCTCCCTGTGGCCTACTGAAATTGACATGAAAAAAGAAATATCCAATTGGGACCAACTTTCTTCCTTTACTAAAAGAAACAGAGCTTGTAATCGCAAATAGGAATGATTAGATTAGGGAGAATTTTTGATTTACGGCGATTACTTACGTTATGTCACTTCCGCTACTGTGTAATTTCGGAAGCATTAGATCAGTGTACATTGAGAAGAGACAATAGTTAGTGGCATTTATTAATTCACAGTTATTGCTACTTAGGTAAGTGGCTTTGTATAATTAGAATTCGAATCTTCAAGAGGATGGCATGAAGGAGATCGTGTGTAGAAGCAGTGAGAGTCTATTGATAATCGTAGGGACAGCTGAAAAGGACAGTAGAAAATAGAGCAAAGTGAAGATGTGTTGCTGAGGCTCTATGTTCCACTCACAACTCAAAGGAACAGTAATAATAATAATATTAATAAGTAAAGGAGGCTATAAATTGTTTGGTATTCTCTGAGCTTTATTTATTTAGTCCTGGAAGTTTCATTTGCCAGGTTTCCATTTTGAAGATTGTCATATCTTCTTATGAAATTATTATTCATCTTTTGTGCTTTCCTCTTTCTAGATTGTTGGACATAAAGATCGTGGTCAACAAACTGAAACAATTCTACGGCTACATTTTCAAAATCTTTCATTTTCAAATGTTGAAGAAGAATTACCCGTCCCAGCTATTGTCTTTTTTGAAGCATTTCCATTTAATTTTGTATTTAATCGTGGTATGAAATTATTAAATATTGGCAGAAGTATGGTGAATGCATTGCCCAACATAGTTGGCAGAGATGTCACGGAAATATTTCAATTATCTAGGCCTGTAATACCATTTACATGGGATGATGTAAGTTAAACTAGGTAGTACATATTGAATAGTTCCAATACCTTTATTGAATTTAATTTTGCTTTTTTTTTAAAAATAATTTAATTCTATGAAACAGAAAGCTGAATTGAATTTCTGATGTCCACATGCTGAGAACTTATTGGGATCCTTTGAAGTATCGATTTTGTAGGGACTTTGTTTAATTGGTTGGAGGATTTCACCATAAGCTGACATCAGTTAGAGAACCCCTGGAAAACCTACAGGAGTACTGGATAGATGTTTTGTCCTGGTTTTGGACTCTTCAAAAGCATGCACTAACCAAGATCTCTTTCTGAAACCAGAATGATCAGACGACGAATTGGGATCCATTGGATACTTTGAATGAAGCTATTACCTGTTTGCTTAATTACCCAGAAAGGTTTACGTTGAGTTATTCCATACGCACTATTCTTTAGAATGGCGTATAAACAGTCATTCAGTGTTTAGATCACCGTCTAAATAGCAGATACTACTTATTGGTGTCGGTGGTTTCTAGTTAGTAATATGCTGTTTATTAGGTGTATCCCATAAATTCTGAAGAATTCCGATTATCCTCAGATAACTGGTAGTTTCCGTCAATTAATATTATATTGTTATCCTCAAGGGTTTTGAGTGGAACATGGGCTTCAAATGACATCTCTACTTTTCCCTGTTTTTTGCCCATTGTCTAATATCTTTTTCTTATTCCTTTACGTCCCCAGTGGAACATCGGGCTTCAAGATAGAGCTTTAAATTTTCGGTAGCAATGGTGTTTATTTTTACGGTATGGGGCTACTAGCCTCATGCCTAACTTCCTCTCTTTACCAGTCTTATTACTGGATTGGTGAAGTAAAGGAGTGCGTCGGTGGCCGGGATTGAACCTCGAACCACATGGAGCGTGGTTGGCGAGCATTCACTAAAATGATATTCGTCTGATTATGAAGTAAGAAGTTTTAAACTATCAAGTTATCATCATACCTAAACAAACTGTTTTCATTCAAATTTGTTAAGCCATATAAGAAGAAGTAAAAAGGGGAGAAGAAAAAAGCATGGGACATTGAAATATACCGGCCTCAGTAAGCAAGTCTATGACTTCCTTCTAGGCATACCATGTGTACAATTTTCTTCCTGAAGAATAAGAATACACCCACTTAGTAACTCAGAAATGAGTTTATGCCTCAGAAGCAGCACTAAATAGAAGCTGTTGTGGTAACTAGTCATACGCGGATATGTAATCTAGGAAGATATAGCGAACACCTTTATACCATTGTCCATACTGAAAACGTTGTTATAAAGCAAGACTGCAGAAAAATATAAAGTACTTTTATCGTGTCACACGAACTCGAAGACTTATAGCGAAGACAGTACTCCAAGTGAGCATAGAGAAGACGGGAGTAATGTAGATAATCAACCAACCAACAGCGACAACAACAACAACGAACACCAATCACAATCAATGGGAGAAATTCGACAGAGATTAACTCCTTCACTTATCCGGTTAGGAAGTATCCCTTCAAACCTAGGAAGTCGGACAACGCGGATGAAGATGTCAAAGTCAGAATCAAAAAGACAAGCAAGACACGCCTTCATAAACCTGAAAACAGTTTGGAAATCATCCACACTCCACCTCCACATACAGAACAAGATTCGGATTTTCGACACAAATGTCAAGTCGATCCTTCTATACGAGTCTGAAACTTGCACTGAGTGTCACGAAGAGCATTTCCAACAGGGTCCTGTAGACTTTTATCAACAGCTACCCACTTCGCTGACTGGCTCCATACTGAAGACCTAATGGCCAGAAATAACTAGCAGAAAAAACTCTGTGAGTTGACGAACCAGCCAAGAGACGATTGCTCAACAAATAAGCAGGAGAAAATGGAGATGGATCGGGCATAAGATGGCCGAGGAGGTAGTTGAATGACATCGCGCTCAGTGCCTTCCATCACTAGAATGCAATCACAATGATAAGCGACGAGTGGTTCGTCAGTTTGAGGGTGAAATGAAGAAGATCGTGTGAGGAAGAGATGACAGATTTTTAGCAATCGCGGACCTAGCTGAAGAGGTTCATAGGAAAGAGAACAAGATGGAGATGTGTTGTTAAAGTCGTATGTTCAGCTTGGAACTCAAGGAAACAATAATAATAAGTTCAAGAATTTTGAACAAATAATGAATACAGAAATAACTTAGTCTCAATATAGTGAACACATGTAATTTCATTTTCGCACATTTATGTTCGTGTGTGTGTGTGTGTGTGTGTGATAGAGTCAGAGGAACATGACACAGATAGGAAAACAGTGATTAGAATCTCAATAAATAAAGACCTTTACGTGTACTTGAAATTATCTACAATCATAACCACACCCATAAGGAAAAGGTTTCTCCCTCTTTTAATGACGATAACAATGAAGTACAAGGCAAGGCAAGACAAGATAAGAAGAAAATAAAAACCAAACACTATAATGCATATCGCATTATATTTACTTTTATGGGTCAAATTTTTCAAAAAAAAACATTTTTTATTCATCATTGTCTCATTGTAAAGATTCATTCATTGAATATTTCGACTGTTATACAACAATAACTATTCATTTCCCTACGAAGCAATATTCTTCATTTTATACTACCTTGTTTATCTACATTGAATCAATAAATAAGTTACCATGGTTACCACTTTCGAAGTGGATAATATCATTTTCTTACCTAATTAATAAGCGTTTACTCACATACATACATACCTACAAAGCTTAGGTTTTACTGGAACATAGAAGTCAGAAATCATTGACAATATGAAATGGACATATCTTTTTCCCGATATTAGCCTATTTTATGTATTAAATTCGTACATGAGAAAAGTTATCTAAGTGTTGATAAACATGTAATCTAGTGATATTGGATACAATTTATTATCCCATTTGACCTTAATTCTTCTTGAAATTGTTAAAAGACTTAATAGCTTGGCAAATTAATATTTGATTATTTTAATTGTCAAGAATTGGTTTGTAGGGATTCTATTTGTTTCAGTTTTGACCACGGATCAATAGCAGTCAGAGAATCATTGAAAACCAACAGGGAGTACTGGGCAACTGTTTAATCCTAGTTTAGGAATCATAGGCAGTAGGTGCCCCCCTGGGTTTCTAACCCAGTAAGCGATGACTACCGCATCCTCACTTTAGACTGGATGGACCCCACTGGTCATGACTTCTCACGAGAACGCAAGGCAACTTTGTCCTGTGGCCGGGCACTAGCAAGTATCAGAACTGATGGGTCCTAGTGGCTGAATAGTATATGAGCCAGGTTACCTTGTAACCGGATGGTCCTGGGTTCGAGCCCCAGTAGGTGCTTACTACTGTGGAGTTCCAAACTAGGATGAGACCACTGTCCAATACTTCCTGGTTTTCAGCAATTCTCTAACTGATGTCAATCCGTAGTCTTACCAGTAACAAACTTTTAAATCATAAAAAACTAATGGATTTTGGAAATCATCAAATATTTTTATGCTTGCGCTGGGGATGTTGCCTAGTAAGGCATTGAAAGCTTCACAGTTAAACCAACCAGCTCAGAGAACATAGAAATCATCCACTTGAGCTACAAATCTTCTAAATTATATCTAAATCATTAGATATGTCAGTTATTTGGAGGCAGTTGCTAGGAGGCCCAGGGTGTAGGTTGCATTGACTGATACAACTCAACTAGCACCAAGCCTGAGAAACAGACACATGATAATGAATGCACCTGAGTGACTAATCAATACAGGCACTAGGTAGGTATGGTAATGCCTTGATTTCTTCATTGTCACATGACTTATTAAGTTCAATATTTCTGCATGGAGTAAGAACAAAATCTTCAGAAAATATTTTATGGATATCAGAAAACTGGACAGCTGTTTTCTCCTGATTTGGGAGTCTCCATCAGTACGCACCCGCCGGGGTTCGAACCCAGGACATTCTGGTTACAAGGCGAGCTTGTAGACCATTGAGCCACTGGGACCCGACCTACGAGCTCGCCTTGTAACCAAAAAGTCCTGGGTTCGAACCCCGGCGTGTGCGTACTGATGAAGAGTCCCAAACTAGGACGAAATAGCTGTTCAGTACTCCCTGCAGGTTCTCCAGTGGTTCTCTAACTGATTTCATCTCATGATGAAATCCTCTACCCAATCAAACAAAATCCCTACACAACCAATACTTGAAGATATCAGAAGTGTTCTGATACTTAGATTTCCTCCATATACTGCTCCTAAAACTGAGTATACTGGTCTTTCAGAGAGTGAAAATCTGACAGCAGTAAAATGTTTTAAACTGGGCTGTCTTCCTAACCCTAGAGTTTCTTTAAGGAGTGTTGTTAACATTCACGTTGAGAGCACTGTTTCCTGCATGTTAGTAATAGCGAGAAAATTCTGTAGTCCTTTTGTTTCGCCAGTGCAGAAATCTAAAACATAGTTCAGATTTTGTTATGACCGGAATCATGACCTAGTAGACTATGAACGAATACTAACTTAGTGTACTGGCTGGCTAATCCACTCTAATCGCACGTCAACACCAACAACAACAATTAATTTAATTTTAATTTTTTAATTTAATTTAATTAATTTTAATTTAATTTTTAATTTTTGATTACAGCTTGATTCCACACTGTAATTTTGGTACAAGTATGGAATTTTCAGCATGGATATCGGTAGCCCAAATTTTGCAGGCCGACCATAGATATTAGGTGTGCGTCGGCAGGGGATCGAACCTTGGACCATGTGCATGTTCGGTGAGAGTCCTAACCACTGTGCCACCGTTGGCATGCAAAGATAAAAGAAAATACTGAACGTCGATAAGAGAGCTTTTACCGTCTCAAACAACAGTCAAAATTCTAGACAGAGACTCTCGATATATAAACAACTAGAATTACCTTAAAAAAGCAGTAATATGGTGATGCATCAGGAGTATTAACAGACAACATGAATCCAGGAATGCAAACACAGGGAAAAAACAAAGGGCTCACGCCAGTGCGCGACAGCTCCTTAAACTTGTTCCTCTAAGATTTTATACAAAATTAGGTAAAACTAGGTGTATATAACAGAATTTGATGTGTAATTTCATCTAACTGCTGTAAATTAGAACTAGGCAGCATTCATATACCTGATAGTGGAATGTAGTTTAATTCACATCATTTGAGCGAGAGAGAGAGAGTTGAAGTTCTATCCAGTATTCTTCCAAATACTTTGGAATAATAATGATTCGCCTAAAAATTTCTTCGGAAGCAAAGTTTTGCATTCAGCTTGGCGAATTTGGCAGGAAAACGCCGGCTACTATCAAATAAACAAATTAGACATGTTCAACCGAGCTGTGTATTCATTCTAATACCACATCTGTTGAGGTAATCAGACTGCACTGTAACAATACGCACTTTACATCTTTAATAATTTTTGAAGTCAGTTGCTTTCAGTAAAGTCAACAAAGTTGAGAGTGACATGATGCTACATTGCGAACTTATAAATCACAAACTTAAGGATTCGTAAAAGAGGATTATCAATTAATTCTGATAACGGTGTTATCAATTTTTTGCAGCATTAAGTGTACATATGACTATAGAGATATTACGAAGTAAAAGGAACATGATTTCATCATACCATACATAGCACACATTGATGACTGCTCACTGAATAACTTTATCAAGTCCAATCAAACGAATGGAGCATGAGCGCCGTCAATACAATTGATGAGACTAATCCAATGGAAACAACAACAAAACTAAAAACAGCTTTCAGTCCTGCAGGAAATGTTATTAGTATCCAGGTGGTAATAGCTCAACTTTAACTGAACACAGATAAAACACAGTAAAATCGATGATAAAAAATGAAAGATATAGCAAAAGATATTCATAAGTCAACACACGAATCTAGAGTAAAAAGATTTGGATAAATAATAACGACACCACAAAGCTGAGGGGTAGAAACAGCTGGAGAGCACTCACAGAATCCATTTCAGTTATTTTGTGTTGAGGTCATCACTGACATATCCGGATTGACCAGGTTCAGATAGATACATCAGTAAAGATCTCCTCAATTCAAGTGAAATACTTTCAGAACTGGTAGTATGTATATATATACATATATTTACATGGTCTCACAGTTTTGCTTCATTTCACGACGGCATTTATAGTATGAAACGGGTCACATGGTACAATATGGATATTTTTAGGATCTTCATGGATATCATAGAGACTTTTCACGTCGAACACTGTGTATCTAATAAATAATAAATTGTAAAAATATTAAATCAATCACGAATAATTAGGTGGAAAATGGAGGTTCTTAAATATTTTGTATTCTCAGCTGTCATATTTCAAAGAGATGACGACTGTTTTTGTCAATTGGGCACAAATAAATATACTCTTGAAACCACCGATGCATGTAATTGAGTATTTGAAATAAGCTACTTAATTACATAGTTAACAGTATAATTTAAATCTTGTAATTTGATTCCATTTTCAGGTTATGCTGCACACAAACATTATATTCGAGTTAACAAGCATTGAAGTACGAAAAGGTAATGTTAACTTTGCCATGTATTTACAAATCCTTGAAATTGCTGTGTGCTTACATTACTGGTAGTCGTGATTTTTCCAGAAGATTTACTTTGGCTACAGCCTGACAGTGGCCTGTAGGTGTTGGTTAATTGTATCATGAGTCTTCCTACTCGTAGCTTATTATTTAAATCATTATTATTGTTCCCTTGAGTTCCAAGCTGAACATACGGCTTTAACTGCACATCTCCATCTTGTTCTCTTTTCTATGAACCTCTTCAGCTAGATCCGCGATTGCTAAAAATCTTTCATCTCTTCCTCACACGATCTTCTCCATTTCACCCTCACACTGACGAACCACTCGTCGCTTATCATTGTGATTGCATTCTAGTGATGGAAGGCACTGAGCGCGATGTCATTCAACTACCTCCTCGGCCATCTTATGCCCGATCCATCTCCATTTTCTCCTGCTTATTTGTTGAGCAATCGTCTCTTGGCTGGTTCGTCAACTCGCAGAGTTTTTTCTGCTAGTTATTTCTGGACATTTGGTCTTCAGTATGGAGCCAGTCAGCGAAGTGGGTAGCTGTTGATAAAAGTCTATAGGACCCTGTTGGAAATGCTCTTCGTGACACTCAGTGCAAGTTTCAGACTCGTATAGAAGGATCGACTTGACATTTGTGTCGAAAATCCGAATCTTGTTCTGTATGTGGAGGTGGAGTGTGGATGATTTCCAAACTGTTTTCAGGTTTATGAAGGCGTGTCTTGCTTGTCTTTTTGATTCTGACTTTGACATCTTCATCCGCGTTGTCCGACTTCCTGGGTTTGAAGGGGTACTTCCTAACGGGATAAGTGAAGGAGTTAATCTCTGTCGAATTTCTCCCATTGATTGTGATTGGTGCTCGTTGTTGTTGTTGTTGTTGTCGCTGTTGGTTTGTTGTCTTCATCACCTCCATGTTCACCTGGGGTCCTGTCTTCGTTGTCTCTGCAGCCAGTTTGTTGATTTTTCCTGTAAGTCTTCAAGTTTATGCGCCACTAAACATAAATCCATATTTCCTAGATTCTTCTTATCATTTAGTGCAGCATATTGGTGCCTTCTCACTCTCATTCAGAGTCATCCGCATAATCCAGTCCATCTCAATTAAGAATATCATCATGGATAATAATAGCCAGGCAGCCTTGTCTTACTCCTGTATTCGCTTTTAACACCTCTCTGGTTTTTTCGTTGTGGACCTCAACACTGCTAATTATGACTATAATAGAATTCAGCAATACAAATCCCCAATAACTGCCAATTACACTTCGGTTAGGAATTGAGGATGTCGTTAAAAAACTTGAATGTACTGAATAAGAGTTCAGATAAGAAACTTTAAGCTTTTGGTACTCCCCTGATCGTGAGTCTTTCCAGAGTTTTTATGTTCAAAATGCATAGGAGAAAAAAAATTAAGGACATAAAATGATGTACAATCCACAACGTTGTTTCCATAAGCCAATATACCAGCTTTCACTAGATGTTTTTAAGATTTGAAAAGATGTATCAGAAACCGTTGTAAAAAAGCGAATCAACTCTCTGAGCATTTCTCGATATAAGTCGGAGAATCTGTCGACACCAGTGTGAAACTAAATGATATCTTGTCCCAGGATCAAATACAGGACCGATTTCGCCTCGAGAGTTCAGTTGGAGAATACTCATCAACCTTCCATGTGGTCCCAAGTTCATTCTCTGGCCGACTCACTGCTTAACTGTGCTTAGCTAGTAGTGAGTCTGGGAAAAAAGGAAAGATTGAGCGTGAGGCTAGCGACTGGATCTCATAAAAAGTAAACATCACTGCGACTGAAACTTTAGACCTCAATCTTGAAGAACATGTTTCATTCGGAACGCAATGGATTAAAATAAAAACTAAACTGAATTTTAGTCAAAGGGTGAGAGGTTGACTGCTCGTGCTATCCAAATTCCGATGAATTTTGAATTACTATTATAATAATCGAGTATTATCAGTTAAGAAATGTTTTCATACTTGACGATATCCTTTTTGGGCATAGAATTCACGCTTATTAGCACAGGCCATCATGATGTGTATTCAACCTCGAAGGGATTGATTCCCCGTTAAGGAGATTCCAACTGGCATTAGGCAGTACTGCATTCGGAGATGTTACAAAAGAATTGTTCAGGTCGTTATTGATCTATTGTAGGACAATAATGGATACATTCATTACTTTCTAATGACCAATTAATCCCTAAACACAATGTATGTAATTAGATCATATGCTTGAACTGGATATTTTCAATCTTGTTTTCCTCGAAGAGTATACCTAAATAAAAGACGTTGTTTTAAACTTTTTTTTTAATTCAAAAATAAAAGATGATTATTTAACATCTGTTTTAGTTAAGAATTGATAAATGGTCATATTGTATCTGTTTTTTGTCGATTCATATAAAGTCGTAAATAATTGTTATTTATGCCTTAATAATGTATAGCAGCTATTAATTGAATTTATAAAATTTCAAGCTATATATGTACTTCAATATTTGTTATCCTAATAAACTATCTTTACAACTGTATATTGAACACGTATAACCAATTAAGGTGGATAACGCATTTTAAGGTACATAGAGATTTTGTGAAATACTACAGTAAGGGATTTGGTGTAGGGCGACTAGCAGTGGAATCCAGGAAACACGTTTCGTCCTATTCTAGACTTCTCGATGGATGTACCTGTATTCACCAGTGAGTGATAGTGTTCCCCCTGAAAGGCTGAACATTTTAGTTTGGACAGTCAACGACGAAATCAAAACTGAATTAAAAACAAATGATAACCGACACGCGCTGCAGAAGAGAGAGCTCATGTTACCCAAGTGGTCAAGTGGATAATGCTTTGGTGTTTGAAACGATGGGCAGTGAGTTCCAGTCTCAGGGGGAACACTATTATTCACTGGGGAATGCGGGTACAGGATTAGCCCCGAACAGGACGAAAAACACATCCTGGATTCCATTGGTAGTCACCGTCCACCAAAAGTACTTCAGGTTAATCCTCAGAAATCATCGAAGCGTCCACTCAACGAGCTGATATGTCAACAGAGGTAAAATATCTGGGTCCAGTCACTCAACAGGGGGAATCAAAATTGAATTAAAAATAAGTAATTACTTGCAGTAAGTGTTTGTAATATCCACGACTTTGGACAGTTGAATATTAGATAAAGCATGTATTGTAAGAATTTAGGCTTCGAGCTGTAGAGATCAGCAGTAATGTGGGAATTTTCCCTGGATGGTATTTTAGGTACAATTCACCACACATGTATGATATATGGCTCTTGTGACTCAGATATTAGAGACTAGCTATCTCAACTACAAGCAAATCTCATGTGCTTAAGATGGTTAACCTAATGTTGATACTGCTTGTGAAGTTATTTCAGTCTGTCTATTGATACACAAACTTGGGACATTATGAGCATCAAGAAACGAGTCATACAAAATCTCATAGTTTGTGTGAGGCTGGGATACTATCTGGACCCTCAAAATGAAACAGATGGTTGTATTAAGGGGTTATCCCAGAGCTTCTGTCTTGAAGTTTGATACATAAGGTAGTGGAGTGACATTTCGATGGCTTCGGCTGGCCAAAAAAAGTTCATACTGCATTCGATCTGTTTGGAATCAGGGTTTTCATCTCCTCTGGATAGATCTGCACATCCACCAGTCTGGAAGTAAGCGTGAGACTTTCGCATTCACTCCCCCACTTTTGAAAAGAACACCACCGCATGAAGGCAGTGGACAGGACTTACTGCCAGAGACTATGAACACGTGGCCACATGGGATGGGGAGCATTTTGAAGGAGGGCCCTCCTTCGTATTAGGTCGTTTTGTAGGCAGAGATGACAGATGTCAAGCAAATGGATTCTAATCATATCCTGTGTTTTTAATGACTCTGTTACAAATGAACTAACTATATGGTGGGTTATGGAACTGTACAGTAGAGTCAATATTTAACGTACAGTCTGATATTTCATTAGATGTTATGCAACAGAAGTGAATAAAGTGACTTCTAAAAATTAACCGAATATAAGAGAAGAGAGATGATAGCCACTGGAGCCTCATTTGACTCACATCATTCATATGTATTATGAAAAGCCAGAAGCCTGCAAACAAAGAGAAGAAAGTTTAAAATATCAAAATCACAGTTTTAAAGTCATGCCAGGCAGCGAGATTGAAGCGATCTAAACACTAGACGGCCGTTTCTCTCGTTTAGGGTTAGCAGAGCTCATCAGTGGTGTACTCGGTTTGACTCATCCCTGTGACCCGAATTTCTTTAGATCACCCAATTCTTAGCTAACTACTGATTTGGCTCTCTGAGTTAGTCCTAAGCGAGTAAGCAGTTGATGAGCTCAGCCCCAAATTAGCAAAACGGCCATCTGACGTTTAGTTCACCTCGATATGACTAAAAATTACTGCTGGTTGGTGTAAATAGTATACAGCTACTCATCTTCATCAATCAGTAGTTTGTAGTTAATTCATTTTGGTCTGGGGGGGGCAAGCACTGCTCGTTGAAGTGACCAGTCTCAAAAGAATCAATCAACCTCTAGTATGTATTTTATTTTGAGACTTTCGGGAACAAATCAAACGAATTTTGATACAAGTCAGCTGATCCTCTAATATGTTTTATTCTTATTCCCCTGGGTTCCAAGTGGAACTTATAGCTTCAGCAAATCAACTTCACTTCTTTCTATATTCTGACGCCTTCTTCATCTACTTGGGCCGACGATTGCCCATCATCTATCATCTCATCCTCCTCCTCCTCCTCCAACTCACACTATTTCTTCCATATCACCCTCACACTGACAACCCACTCTTCACTCTCCATTGGGATTCCACTCAAGCCATGACCTGCACTCAGCATGTTATCATTCGACGGCCACCTTAGCATATGACCAATCCATCTCCATTTTCTCCTACATATTTATTGAGCAATCGGCTGTCGCCTGTTGGTTTGTCGCCAGAGTTTCTTATCGGCAGTTCTTTCCCGTTGACCAGCTAGCGAAGGTGGTGTAGCTGTTGACAAAAGCCTCGAACTTGTTGGAAATCCCTTCCTTGACACGTAGTGCAAGTTTCTCACCCGTATGGAATGTGATTCTGTAGTGACTTATTACTATTTTTCAGTAGTTTTTATCATGAAAAAATTACGAAGAGATGTTAATGATTTTCGCCATAACTTAAATATCAGTCGACGGCTGAGTGATTAATTATCAAACATCTTAGTTGTACGAAAGCAATAGGCATTTGGAGATATAGTGGACGTTAGTATATTTATCACAAAAATATAAATAGTCAGCAAATTTGACTAAAGATCATTCAATACGGTAAAACGTTTTTAGTAAACAAACAGTCTAATTGTTATGTCAGGTTTTTTTTTAAAATATTTTGTTCATACATTTTCATTTTTCACATCATACATACACTTTTATGCATGTATGCGTGTATCAGCTGTCTGACCATATGTTATCTGTCTACTACATATTTTCAAGATCCTGGTATCAATGGTGAAATGAAGAATGGAACAGAGGAAACCGATGCTAATCGAGGCAAATTAAAACTTCGAGGTCAAATGAAATATATGTTTGAATGGGATGCTATAGTTTTTCTTGGCACACCTATGTAAGTTATGTATCATTCGTAAAATGATTACACTATATATATATATATATGTATAACACTGTGGGTTCGAGTGGTAATCATTATGTACTGACGGTTCATTTTTACTTAATTCTTGCTGAATTTCTCTTTCACATCAGGAAATCGCATTTTCCTATAGTTAAGATTAGAGTATTTTAGAAAGTTTTTGTTATGATTACCAGTAGAACTACTAAACGGTTTTCTGCGTCCAACCCAGGAGATATCAGAGAAATTCACTGGTACTTACTTCCGGTTGGAAAGCATCTCAGCATACTATGAACTGCAACCAGTTTGGAAATGCCAGAATACAAACTGTAAATGGTCTAGGTTGTTTGTTGTTCCACTGACAATAAACCCAACACAAGAAGACAGTTACAAGACAAACGATCACAGTACCAAAAGTTACAGCTTAAAAACGTTACGGGTTCATTGCTTTAATGCTAAAAACCTTGACAAGCTGTTTTCCGTGAATTCATTTTCTTCAGCTTTACAATCACATTTATGTGCAAATTTTTATGAGTCAGGATAGTACCAAAATTATGATTATGAGAACTCATCACTTTTGGCACTACCCTTTTTCGTGGAAAAAATTGTGATTAAAAATGTGATTATACACTTAAAGAATTTTAATTCGCCGAAAAGAGCCTATTCATCAGTGAATTAATTGTTTCGTTGCCTTCATTAATGCTTGTATGGAGATTATTCATGAATCTCCAGAATGACTCAGACAACAATACGTAGAAGGATTCAACCAAATGGTGAATGAAATATAGAAAACAGTGAATAGAAACCATTGGTCGTTTGTCATCAGTAAGATTATAACTTTGTATATATATATATATATACGCTGGTTTTTATCTGACCAGCAGGAGTCAACTATAGTAACTTGATGCTATCGTGTAAACACGGAAAAAAATTTGTCTAAGCATCCAGTTTAACTAGAATTACCCTTTCACTGTCATAGACAATTTTACTACTAGCCTAAGTACGATCATATTTATTTTTAATAAAGTTTTGATTTTTCCGTCGATTGATCGGATCGAGATGCTCATTCTTCGTTGACATGTCTTCTCCTGATATGGATGCTTCGACAATGTTTGAGGACTGAAGTAGTCTGGTGGGCGACGACGAGCAGTGGGACACGTCAAGTGAATGTGCTTGCAGCCATTCAGTGAGTGGTGGCTCTCCCAATGCGGCTTGAACCCAGTACTCATAATTTCTAAAGCCAAAGCGTTATCCACTAGGCCATCCGGACTCTGTCAGCAGGTGGTTAGCGTCTCCTGGAGTCAATCAACGTGAAGATGAAAGTTGAATTAAAAACAAATAATAATTGATACCCGTCGCGCAATGGGTGGCTATCGGCTCCAAGGTGGTCTAGTGGGTAACACTTTGGCTTCGGAAATTATGGGTACTGGGCTAGAGTCTCAATGGGAACATCATCACTCACAGAATGGCTGCAGGTCCATCCACTCGATGAGTTCCGGATTGGACGAAATTCGCATTCTGGACTCCACGTTCAATCATTATCCACCATACTAGTTTAAGTGTGATCTTGTTAATGTTCATAAATCATCTGTAGTTTGCAGCAAATCAGAAGGATTTTTAATACTTTTATGCTTGAATTTATTAGATATTACGTTTTAATTATATAAATGAGCATAGGTTTCAGCCGCTTACCTGTTACTATTTAGTTATGTGCATGAATTAATATGCCAAGTAATAAGGAGACTGACTATTCGATACTTCCTTGCTTATAATATAAATAACAAAAATGTTATGTGTACTTTAATTGGACACTAGTCAGTAACTAGTTTAATGACTCTATTCCTTTGTTTGGTGCAGACTGAATTATATCAGTCAAGTATGCAATGTCTTTTACTGCGGGGCTGGGTGATATTGGTTCGAATCTCAGGAGGAACATCATTTCCTTCAAGACTGTAGATACAGCTTGCCGACGAATGGCAACTAGCACGAAACCTGTTGATTGCCTCCAACCATCTAATATGTTATAAGTGTTTATGGGCGGGTTGTGGATAAGCGTTAGGATATCGTAGGCGTTATCTACACGCCTACTGATATCTGTCAGTCACTTGTCCTTATTATTATCCAAAGTAAATTTATTGTGAATAATGACAGACAGAACATTCTGGATAGATTTTGAAGGGTCAGTCTGTAAGAATTTGACTAATTTCAAATAGGATATTATCTCATTGGGAAGAGAATTCAACAAGCTAGCCTTATAAATTGAAGATCCTGGGCCAGATCCTCAATGGGTCATGAACGTGCACTCCTGACGAACCCCAAACTGGGACGAATCGATCGTCCAGTACTCCCTTCTGGTTTTCAGTGTTTGTCTAACTGGTGCTGATTCTTGATGAAATCTACATTGAAGCTCAGTCTTTCTGCGGTATAAAATGTGATTTGCTTCGACTTTGATTGCTGACTACTTTATTTTATGAGTCTCTCATCTAAGTAGGGAAATCAGATCCTGATCTAACGTGAATTCTAGGTTGATATGTGGGCCACTTTTTGTCATCTTTTAAAACGCAGAAATAATATTTTTAAGGCAAGTAAGCGGAGCTTACCTATTTGATTTACTTTGACACCAAAACAGTGAATATTTAGGCCATAGGTAGTTTACCAGTTAGGATGCTGGAGTCCGAGTTATAAACAAATCGGTAATTACATAGTTCTTACGTAAAAAGGCTGTCACCAGGTGTAAACATCTAGTAGAAATCACCAGTTCACTCCAGATCATTCTTTAGTTCGACATAAACTGTCCAACTTACAGGACACAATTACACCAAAATATCTATCCTAGCTACTATTCTCCACTGCCTCGAACTCGAATTTAAAAGAGGGTTAGAAAGCTATTTTTTAATTTATAATACCTTTGTAACAGATAGTCAAAGGATCAGGTGCGATTAGCTATCACCTATCAATAACAACATTTCAAGTCTAATTATGAGCTGATATCAATTAGAGGACCACTGAAAACCAGGTAGTGTTCGACAGCTCTTTCGTCCTAGTTTACACCTCTTTAGCAGTATGCACCCACCAGCCTTCGAATTCAGGATCTTCTGGTTACAAAAACAAACTTGTAGACCGATTACTCACTGGCGCTTCATCCAGTGACCCATGAACTCAAACCTCCACCAACTCATGATTTCAGCGCGACGCGACTTTCAGCTAGTGTCACTGGCGAGTGTTTGTTCTTATTCTCGACATGGTAGAAGTTAGAATTCATAGGCTAGTGAGTCGGGTCCTGGTGGCTGAATGGTCTAACAGCTCGTCTTGTGACCGGAAGATCCTGAGTTCCAACCTTGGTGGTGGTGCGTACTACTAAAGATTACCAAACTAGGATGAAACAGCTGTCCAGTACTCCCTGGTTGGTTTTTAGTGGTTCTCTAAATGATATCAGCTGGTGATCAGGCTTGAAACAAATCGAATCCCTACAAGCTAACTAACTCTTGAAAATATCAACACAATTATGTAATGATCCTCAACTGATATTTAATATACTGGTAATAATTAAGTGTATAATGAAATTTAAATGTTGAAATCATGCATTTTGTTTTTTCTTGTTGTAGAATGCAGTTACAGATGCATATTTTTGGCATCCCATATGGTTTAAGTCATTGTTTTACAAAATAGATTGATTTATGTAGTTAATCAGTACACATGCATTTATGAACAGCTGTGCATTGTGTCTAAAGAATGTCTAAATTCCTTAGCATAACAGAAGAAGATGAAGTAGTGGTAGTAGTAGTCTGCTTTTCCTTGAAAGAAAAGCGATTCTTTGTATTATTTCAATGGATAAAACACTGTCTTCTACATACATAGACTTAAATTACTATTATTATTACGTAACATAGTAAGTGATCTCTGCAAATAGTACAAGTTAAAAGTTTAGTCGTCATAATGTCTTGTCTTTTATTGGGATCATACCATGAACAAATATTATATGAATATTGAGCGAATTAAGTTTGAAAATGGAATATGAAATTAAGTATAATTCGAGGATATTTGTGGTCTTCTCTGAAGTATCCTGACTGACTGCTTGACAGCAATAATGCATAACGAAAATCAAAACAAGTGATTCAGCGAAGAGACTCGTTCCAACGAATTTATCACCAAACTGTACAGTCGTATATATATATATGGTTTTTAATAAGCTTTAAGAAGAAGCATGGCTATGAAAAGGTGGAAGTGGAGCAATAAGAAGCGCGATCATTGAACACATGGTCGATAATGACCACCCTATCTCTACAGCCTCCGCCTTTAAAGTCATCTACAAGGCAAAGAGCAATCTACCCAAAGCCCTACGTACCCGACTCATCTGTATTGCTGAATCTTTGGCTATAGAAACAGAGAAGCCAGATCTATGTGTACAGAAAAAGTTCGCTCAACCCCTCCAACACTCATGGTCTTAATCCCTCTATGTTAAAGTATGGTAATCCCCAATCATATTTAAGCTCTACCAATTTTTCCATTTAGTGTATTCAGTTTGTATACTCTTCCTTATTACGCCAATTGTTACTATTACTACTCTCACTTTGAACTGTCCCCGGTATTATTTCACTTGTTCCACTTGTCATTCTAAATCAATTTTTTTACAACGTTAAATTCTATGCTATCGAATTTCACACTATTACGTAACGCTTTTATTTTATTCGATTTGTCTACTAATCCTATAGCTGCACACCCTTTTTCAAGTTCTATCCATCCTATGAATTATTCTATATATAACATTAATTTGTTATGCCACCTGACATTTAACTATGAGTATAATCAAAAACATTTTAGTTTTAATTGAACTTCATATGATTATTATTATTATTTTATGCATTCACACCTAAGATTCAATTCCCTCACCGGATATAACTTCTTAAAAACCACATATATTACGACTGTACAGCTTGAAAAGAGTCTCTTCACTGAATCCCTTGTTTTGATTTTCTATATGTTACAATGGGAATTTT